ATTTGTGCCACGTGTGATTTTCGTTAGCCATGTGGCACATTCCGTTAGTTTAAGTTGACGGAAGTGAGATGGGTGATCAATGGGTAAGCAAGTAAATAGATGGGTGAGCAATGAGATATATTTTGTTGATGAGTGAGCAAGTAGTAATATACACTAAAGTTGGGTGAGCAACCATTAAATTTACTCCTAGATAATAACATTTGGCAATTTGGATAAACGAGTAGAGATATGTTTTATGATTAGTGCAATTGTTACATGAATTTTTAAATATTTAAAATATTTAATTAAGGCTTATTAGAATTTACATAGAAATATAGTGAATCACTTGGTTAAATATAATCAATTTGAACACTAGAGAGCTAAATTGAATAATTAAGAAGAATTCAATTGAACACTACAATAAGTAAAAAAATCTTGTTTAAAGAATTAAATGAGATCAATAAATGAAATTGCATGCGATAATATCACATTTATACTTAAAATCCTAATTTGATTATTGTTTGTATGTAGGTCACATTAATATAACTAGAATAATTCAGATAATCAATCACCAAATACACTTTTTTCTCGTCAATTAGGAATTAAAAATAAGAAAAATTAGGAATTGAATAATAGTCTCTATGAGAAGGATTATTTGGACTCATTGACCCATTTATTACTTGTTACAATATTATACACTTGTAATAAGAAAAAACAACACCTGTTATATATATATATATATATATATATGCTTTTTTCCACTTGAATTCCAACTTATAAAGTGTTTGATTCCATTTTTTTCCATAGAAAATATTTTCCAATAATTGAAAATATGTCTAATTTTCCTTATTTTTGAGGAAAATATTTTTTTTGGAAGAGGTATTATTATTATTATTATTATTATTTATTTTATTTTTTTGGGGAAAATGGCTTTTTTCACCTGAATTCCAACTTATAAAGTGTTTGATTCCTTTTTTTTTCTATGGAAAATATTTTCCAATATTTGAAAATATGTCTAATTTTCCTTATTTTTGAGGAAAACATTTTCTTTGGAAGAGGTATATATTATAATTATTATTATTTTTTAATTTTTTTGGGGAAAATGGCTTTTTTTCCACGTGAATTCCAACTTATAAAGTGTTTGATTCCCTTTTAATTTTATTTTTTTTCCATGGAAAATATTTTCCAATATGCCTAATTTTCCTTATTTTTGAGGAAAACATTTTCTTTGGAAGAGGTAGAGTTTTATTTTTTTTCAAAGCAAGGAAAACATTTTCCATGCCTATTCATATATACCCTTAAATCATTTGTCTATTTGCCCAACGTGAAGACCTTCAGAATAGACATCATCATCTCCTGTACGTCAAAAAAGGAAAGGGAAAAGTGAAGCTCATGAGTTCTTTCATGTCATCTCTCAAGCTGGGAAGAAAACCTGAGGACCCAAGACAGGATAACGAAAATGGTTAATAGTACTCCTGTGCATAGACTGAACTTCTAATTCTCAGCTTGTATATTTATGTTTAGAAATTTCCTTCTAATCAGATTAACATAAACCCGCAACCAGAAAGGTTGATGAACCTAGAGGTACCAAAAAAAACAGGGGTGGACAGGTGCACACAACGAGATTGAATTAATGCAATTGAGTCAAACATCAGGTTAAATCATTGTAAACTTTGTTACAAATTCAAATAATCTGCCGATTAAAGGCAACAAAGAAGTCTGAGGAATCTTTATTGAATCACTGATAGAGAAACTAGAAGGATGACAACAATGGTCATGCTTCAGTCCTAGCACCAGCATTCATCTGCAAGATCAATGGAGCAACGGAATAATCTTGACACCAGATTTCAACCTGTGCATTCAAGAAAACTGAATAGCCATGGAAATGAGAACATGGAATCTGAATCTAACCAACTTACTTTTATTCTTAAAAATGTCAGTAATGATAAAAGCGAAAGGAAGAACTGAAGAAGGATAAAAATATTAGTTTGTTCGAAATGTCAGTTTTCCTCCTGCCACCCTGATTACATATCAACTAGCTGACAAAAAAGGTGTATACCAGAGAAAGCAGTAGCACTAAAGGTTCTATTTATCCCAGTTCAAGTGTTGCTTTATTGCCTGCTTTGGTTAAGAAGTCATTGTTCACACGCCTTTCTTTGAAGTTATGTGATGTTATATAACTGTCTTCCTAGACTGGGGCATGCACAAATAGCATCATCCCTGGTGTTTGTTAGAAACTAAAATTTGCACTATCTGATGGAAACAATGACTGAAGATAATACATATTTCACAAAGCATTTCCGTTTGCATTATTGCATAGGATTAATTGAAAACTGTGTGTGGCACTTTTATGGGAGATTAAGTGCATCTTTCTGTTACACGATGAGAATCAATGGAACATAGGGAAAGCAGTCTGATTTTGTTGTATGCTCATCCAAAATAATGTTCAATCACGAGAAGGATATAGTTTATAGTAACAGTGCATGTTAGTAGGCAGTTGTATATTCTTTGAAACTTTGCAAGAAATGCACGGTGAACAACTGTCTTCGATCACAAGATTTCACATGAGAAGATAACTCTCTTGACCTTCATCCTCTGTAAAGCCTTACGACAAGACCCAAATCTTTCTAAATATTTCTATCTTAAATAAAGATCGACAAATTGATGACATCCATGCCATGCCTATTATTTCACAATTTAAATATAATTCCTCCATCTTTTTATGATCTTAAACCTAGTGAAACAAAACTTCTTCCTCCATCTTTCTATGATCTGATCCCTGTATATCAGAACCCTCCATATCTTCATGAGATCATATCCCTGTGAAATGAAACCCTTCGATTTTATTGCTAATACAGTTAACTATGATTATATATCTACTTCTCTATTCGCTTTTGAGAGGTTTCTTATAAGCAGCTGCCTCCTAATCCTTGGTTCCATGATAATTATAATACTTCTGTCCAATACACTTGAATCACTCTCTTCGCCTGTTTAGCTTATATATGCTTCTACATAGTCAAGAGGTCCAAGCTCTCGCAAAAGAGAGAATGAAAAATCATCAGATTCGACAGATGCATGCCAAAAAATCAGCGAATAACAAGACAAGAACTTCTCTTTGCACATAGTATAGCAGAATTTGATTGTTGAAACCGTCTATGCAGGTGTACATGCACTAGAAACAAGACAATTTCTTGAACATGGAGTACAATCTTATTCATAGTATAAGAGCCAAACTTTAAGGAAAATGAGGCAAGCCCAATTGGCACACACTTAAACTAAACATAAACATATTTATTAACACCGAATTCATTCTTGAAATGGAGATCATAAACACCAATAATTATTGAACATTAATTCATCTTTTAAATTAAAATTACATCTATGCATTTCATGTGCTAGCAATCTTGACCTTGTACAAATGCGGTGAGGTGCTTGCTGTTTTCTCTTAGTGAGAAGCAGAAGAGGAGGAATGAGAGTGAGGTTTGGGAGCGTAGATCTTGTTATAGGCAGTTTCACCAACGAGGTATATACCGAAGGTGACGAGGGCAATTCCAAGGCCCAGGGTGGCGTGACGCCAGTGATTCGTCATCATCGGGTGTTCCGCCACTCATCCCGCCGCCTGAAGAACTCTCCGGTGGATCCCAAAGGCTTCGCCATTGCGACGCTGCTTCTTCTTCGTGCTTGGTGTCGTCTCCAGGGGGGCCAGTTTCTGGGCTTCGACGTTTTGATTGGTAGAATAGGTTTGGTACGATCAGCCCATTTTTAAGGAATTATATGAGGGCCCACTCGACAGTTCTTTTGATTTTATTTATGCTTATAGTAGATTTTTTCTAAAGATAATTACCTTCGATCAACTTTTTCTAAAATCTGTTCTAACCAAACAAAATATTTCGAGTTCAAAAGTAACTTCTTAATCTTGAAACCAATTTTTGACATTTTAAAAACACCGCCAAAGGGATGCTTACACTTGTTTGAGAGCAAATCATAATTAATTTAAAAATATATAAAAATGAGTAGTATATGAATAATTAATCTATATATAATCTACAAAATGTGTGGATAAAATATAAAATTGACCAAAAATATTTATCTTCTAACAAGTGCGACTTGTGATGTGGAACACTATTTAAACAACCCTAGACAAAATAATGGAAAAATTTAATTGACTTTTTATTTGTAATTTTGTTTATCCCCACCATTGTTTGGTCAAAATAATATTTTGAATATCGATTTTTTAGGAGAATATATGATTAAAATGTAAAGAAAAATTTTGGATTTATGTACATAGTATTTTATTGTGTGGACGTATAATTGAAAATGAGTATGTCAAAAAAGAGTTTTTAAATAATGGTGGTCAAACATAGGCTTAGTATTTTTGAGTAAAAAGTATCAAAATGGCTCTTTCTCCATGGATATTGAGCAAAAAGACGCAGTCACAAATTTGATGTCACGAAGGGAATGAGGACTTGTTTTTCTTCCACTTGGCATCATTCAATCTCCGAGCAGACTGATTTTTAGCCAAACCAAATGCGGATTATTCTACTTTTAATTAAGCCTATTATATAATACCACCTATACTAGTATTGTACTAGATAACATCATTCTTTTCAGATTCAATTCAGAGCTGGTTTCTACGAGATCATTTCCTTGCTTTAGTGGTTTATAACACACTATGTTCAACTTAATGTTAGGAGAAATATCAATATCCTGTAACCGAACATGGTGAAGGCTCAAAAAGAGGCACAACAGCCACATGGTCGTGGTGGTGGAGGCGGCGGCCATTTCTTCTTCATTTCCACCACTGCGATCAACTGCTGAACTGGGGCTCTTGCATCAGCCTCATTCACAAATTGAAAAGACAAAGATCACATAAAATTCCTCAACAATGTTTATCTATTAATTCAAATGTAACCTGCAAGGCATGGAGGAAGCTCCATCTACAGGCCTACAATTTTGCTTGGTAAAAACTAAAATCTTTCTAGTCTATTGATCCCATTAAATTGGCTGTATCTAGAAAGGAATTCAAATTCAAAATATAGTAATTTTAAATAATCGTTTATTTCATCGATCCTTTAACTTCTATTCTTTTCCAGAAAATGGTGATGTTAAGCCTACGGATATAGAAAAGTAATTGTAAGAAAATATGAGCAATCAGTTGAAACTCAAAATCCTACTACTCCACGAATATCGTCCACTTGTGCACCGGCACGTTGGGGTGTGTTGTTTAGCCTGTTTATAACACATAAGAAATGTCAAAGGCTTCTTTAATAGAGAATATGAACCTGATTTCTGCATACAAAGTTGGAACAAAATGAATAGCCTACCTTCTCCCTTCTGCAAGGTCTGCTTCTATTCCAACACGAAAGCCTACTGCAACAGCCACCTCCAGAGCTGGATTCATATCCCCTGCAAAAGAAGGAAAAAAAAGAAGAATTGGAAGTTGGTTTTTTTTTTTTTTTATATTCTACAATATATTATGATTAGAATTAGTGAATCACCGAATATACAATTCCAAAAAATTTCCCACATACAATCCAATTTATTTTTATTTTTTCCAAACAAGAGGAATTGACCCTTCCCTTCCAATAAAGAAAGAGAACGATAGAATCTATCAGAACTAGATGGATAAATAATAATTTGTAGCAATGTTAATCAAGACATTTTTCGGGGTTGCCAAGCAGAAGTAATGAATAATAAATTATGGAAAAAGTAGGACACAATGAATACGACATGCCTGAGACGATCTCCAAACATGTAGATCCAATAAGATAATGGGAGATCACATTAATCTCTCGGGAACCAGTTGAATGCGTGAAGATAAAGGAAGCACGTATTGGAGGGAAAAGTAGAAAATCCATAATAACCCTTTAGCCTAAAACCAATTATCACCCTATTAATGGAGTGATTGTGTTACCATTATCTATAACAACCCTTTAGCCTACCTCTGCTTCAGAAACTTACTGTGGAACAAATCACACAATAAGAACTTTGCAGTGAAAAACACAGAGGCCTACCAACTACCAACTTCTTGAATAGTACAAGATGAACCGTTTAAACCTTTGAGCTTCATCACTAACTTTTCACTAAGACACTGGCTAATGTGATTGACATCAGCTTATTAATGAGGAATCGGAAATTAACAGAAATAATTGATCTGGGATAATCTAGTCCCATTTTATCTGACTTATGGGAAAATTCCGAGTGGTCATGTTAATATGTTAAAGAATTTTTAATCGTTCTTTCCCATAATTATAACATGTTCCCTCAGCCAAGAAAGTGTTCATATTAAGTGCACATCATAACAGAGTTGTTAAACCATTAGAGTATTAGGCCAAGAAGAACGTCCATTTTCCTGGCCATATGTAGCAGGGTTCTGATTGCATGGCTAAGATGATGACAAGATTTTTCAGATCCACGTAATGTCAGGTAATGGAACCTGTCATAATATGTTTCATACTTTATAGGTCGCTTGGCCTATTTCCTCATTCAATCATTGTGCAGTCGTGCAAAATAGCAGCCAAGTTGTGGCTGTTACGTTATTAAATATACACAGCTCCATCAGGACAACTTATCTTTGTTTATGCTAATCTTCGCACCAACATTTTCTAGGGAAATGAGTCTAGGCATGTCGGTTTGGAGCACACGGGGCCCCTAGATCTTGCGAATTATCTTGGTAATGATGTGGAGTGCAATAATTGTGTCATCTGCCAAAAACCTTTTGGTGCGAATAAGGAGGAGAGACATGAGGCTTGGATGAGTTTTTGAATCAGCGAAGTGCATGAAAACATAATTTTGGAATAAGGTATAATAGCATAAGTCTAAAACAAAAACATTCAACCAACAAAATCAATTATAACAGCATCAAATGAAACATACCACAAAAGGTCTAACCAAGGACAAGTTGATAAACTTTAAACATATCGTGATGTATCGTGATGAAAAGGATTCTTCTTAGCGACAATTAAAGATGGTCACTTCTATTTTAATTCACTTAATCCTACCCATGCTCTAAAGAAGACTTTCAAATTTTAATCATCTCTATTCAAACCCCAAAGAGAAAAGACAGAAAGAACATACACCTGCCTTTTTTGCTCCCCAAAAAATTAACAAAGCACCAGCTTATATTTGTAAGTTTTCATTTTATCTTTATACTCGGTAATACTTTTATACAACAAATTTTCATTAATGTCCACGTGCTGATTTGTCTGGACGAGCAGTCTAGGGAAACTTGAATGCAGATCTATTTACCATCATAAAACTCAAAGTGGAACCTCCAGAAAGAATGAGTAGAGTAGCACTTACAACTTCTTCCACCAAAGAATGAATTATTGAGCTTGGCATCAATGTTTGGGTAAGTTCCGGCAATAATATCTACAATAAGGGCCGCCAATTGAGACATTAGAACTATTGGATCAACCCCTGAATCCATCAATTCTCTGGCTCGCATCACTGTCTCCGTGCTGTTTGACGACATGGCTAACTCCAGTAGGACAAGTAGTTTCTCATCAGAAACAACGCCAAACTAAAGAGAAAAAAGAATGTTCGTTCACTAAATCAGATTTTTGCTAAAGCAACCAAGCAGATATATTTTTCTTGATATGTACAGTCTCAGCGGCCGTTTTGTCGATTAAAAAATGTATGAAATGCGACAATAATTAAAACTTATCTGCTAACATTTTGGCCACATGACAATTTTTATTAAACATGTTAATATTAAAAAATCTCATAAGATTTTATATGGTCTACAGATAGAACAGTATAATACCTACAATGATGAAAGATTAGTGGAAAAGTAAATATGTGGATTCAAACACAATGACATGAAGAAGAAAGGTAATTTAAACTCACAAGTTCATTTACCAAGGAAGTAGTGACTCTTTTTCCCAACAAACTTAACTGGTCTAACACTGTTTCTGCATCTCGCAGTGAACCATCTGCATTTGAAGCAATCAAATCTAATGCATTATCATCAACATCTAACTTCTCATCAGTGGCAATTTTCATCAATCGGGTAATAATGTCACCGTTGCCAATTTTGTTGAAGAGGTGCATTTGACACCTGGACAATATACTACGGGGAATATTGTCACAATCAGTTGTAACGAGTATGAATACGACACGTGGCAATGGTTTCTGAAGAAATCTAAGAAATGTCAGCCATGTCTTTGAGGGCAGTAAGTGACACTTGTCAATGATAAAAACCTTATACTGCAAAATGGCTGATGAGGAAACCCCTGACAGATTTCTAAAAAGATTTTTGACTCTATTGATTCCCTTTTTTTTAGAAACATCAACTTCATTGTGATCCTTGCTCTTGCCAGATATGAAATCAGCACACTTCCTGCAGACACCACAGGGCTTAGTCTCTTCAGTAGCTAGGCAATTCAAAGCAGCAGCAAAAATTCTTGCAGTTGATGTTTTTCCAGCCCCACGGTGACCTTGGAAAAGATAAACAGGGGCAATCCTCCCCTTTGAAATCGCACTCATGAGTGACTGAACAACCATATTCTGCCCGAGCAATTCCTCGAAAAACATTGGCCTATATTTCTGGCTAAGGCTTTTGATATTTTCTGGAGAACTTTCCTCGTGCATTTCCTCATTCAGAGCTACTTGAGCGAACACTTTTTGACTCCTACAACTTGTAGACCACTTCCTTCCATCCCACCGACTCATCGCCTCCAAATCAAGCTCTCCAAAATTTGTGGTAAGCTCATTATTACTTCTCTCACTTCCCATAGATGATTCTCCTAGGCTGTCAGCGCTAAGCAAAGGAACAAGACCTTTAGCAGCAGGCCTTGAACTCGGTCTCCTCTTATTGGACCCCAAAGAGGACCGATGATGTCTTCTTTGAGACAAGGATTGACTTCCGAAAAAAATGCTGCTTCCTTTCCTCCTTAAAGAATCAGAAAGAGATGGTGAACCACTGCCATTCCCTCTAAACTTTGGCATCGATGTTTTTGACCAATAACAAGGAATCCCACAGCCTGATCTCCCTGACAAATCCAAGTGGTCATCCACCTCATCATCTGCATCATTTAAAGATGCCGTGGTAGCATCCCAAGACTCAATGGTACTAGGATTCGTAACACCATATTTATAAAATGTAGGTGTAGTGTGTGAAATAGAATCATCATCTTTTCTACGACTCTTCAACTTTGATGGTGAATGAACCCAATCCTTATTCTGATGCCTAACAAGCAATGGTGAAATGGCAGACTCCCTCCTTAAACTATCAGAATTACGAAAATCTTCAGTATCATCAGACTGATCCACCAAACTCGCCAAATGTCCCCTTTCTAAACCCAGATCAGACATACCCTCCGCTATATATTTTGCATCTCTACTCGACAAGTTCTGCTTCTTCAAGTTTTTATTATGGTGCCTCAAACTGGCTCTAGTATTATTACTTCTCCTCGACTTCTTATTTTTGCGCCTAATAGAAGGCCTATAATTGGTACCTTTGCACTTAGCAGTTGCAGGAGCATACCTGTCACTCAAACAAGTATCGCTGTTGGAATCATTTGCACCACCATTACGCGCATCAATCGAGCTATCGAAATCTATATTCTCCTCCTCCGCTGTCGAAGATGACCTCTTATCCTTAGCATTCTCAACATCATTCTCAGCAATCTGTCTACTTCTTTCGCTTTCAGATTTTTGACGCCTCCAATTATGCAGAAACACTTTTCTCTCTTTTTTTACGACATTCACATTGCCATTATTGTTGGCACTATTGCTGTTAATACAATTATTAACATTATCAACTTGCGAAGGGAGTTGAAACAGTTGTTGAGAGGAAGAACGAATGACGTAGTCATCAATTGAGTGGCGACCGCCATTGTTGTGATGGTGAAAATGGTGGTTCTTGGCAAGGGATCTCGCTGAATTATGTGGGGACCGCCATGAGGAGGTGGTCCCGGGGTCCTTTAACACGCGGACCGCCTTCCGAATTTGCGTCAATTCTTTCTTCAAATGCAGGGTTCTCGGATCAATTGCACCACCACCATTCACCGTTCCGCCTGCGCCGCGCATTTCTATCAGCACAAATCTTATAGCAATTCAATGGGTAAGACAGAACCCACCTCAGCAACAAAACAGGAAATTCGACCCAACTTAGTCCCACGGTGACCAAAGACTTGTCTGAGTGGAAAATGAAAATTGGGTAATGTTGAAGAAATGGTAAGTGTACTAAATACAGATCTGTAAGGCTTTTTTTCCTCAATCAAAGTTATTTCAACGGCCTTAAATACGCTGAGAAAAATGAAGAATGTACAGCTAGTAATACTATACTGCAACTAGTAGTAGAACCATGAAGGAAATTCTTTCCATTTTATATGAAGGAATATTGTGAGAAGGGAGTGAAAAAAGATTCCATTTTTTTCGTTAAAATCGAAAAAATGAAGTAAATTACTAAAATGGAAGAGTGAAATCCGGCTAAGGAAGATTTGGCTTTGAGAGTCCCAAGATTCTCTTTTAATGAGTGGTTCATCTCCTTGTCTACTCTTTCTAACACGTTTTGTTATTACAGCAAATCCATGCAAGCACTGAATTGCTGGTACTAGAATTGATATGATATTGACTAATTTTATGGGAAGGCTTTTTTCAAATTTTTTTTATTATTATTTTTTTAGTAATATTGTTCACCGCAGTAATCGTTTTACATAATGGTTAGTAATTTGATGTATTAATTTGATGATTTTTTCTTCTACATATATCAAAACACTAACCTTCACATACGTGACACGTAGGGCAATTACGATAGTGAGTGACGGCAAATTACTTTATCTTTTTTATTTTTTGCACGGCTACTTTTTCAAATAGGTTTTCTAATCCAATTATAATAATAATAATAAAAAAGTAAAATCTAATATAAATATTTTTCAAGTGCTCGACTCGGTTGATAATTATTGAAGATATCACATAGTTAATTACTTTCAACTGTTACACTTGACAAATACACGATATTAACAAATCACGGTAAAGAAAATTGTTATAAATTATAACCAAGTTACATTGCTTTAAAATAAAAAAAAAATAAAAATAGAGTTAAGTGGCTTAAAAAATTAGTTTTATGTACTTTCGCATACTCAAAAGGATCACAGGCATGGAGTGACTGACTGCATTTATGTCCCTGTTCTTTTTTATTTTTTTATTATTTTTTATTATTTTTCCTCCTTCTGTTAGGCAATTAGAAATTTAGAATTATTTCCTCTTTTCTAATCTTTATTTCTATACAAATAATACTCTTTTCTTGATGAAGGTTTATTTTCCTTTTCTTTTTGTTCACAGTTTCCATTTTTGTAATTAAGATTTAGAAGAAAAGGAAAAATATGATAGACACAAATTTGTTCATATATTTCCTAAGATAATTTGTTCCAATGTTAAACTATCTTCTCAATTTACAAGATCCTGAGAATTGATTTACGTATAATTCAACCCTATTTTTAAGTTTGGCCCACGAAATTTGCAGATAAGATAAAATCACATTATTTTTTGGATTGCTTTTGCTAAACGTTCACGTTATAATAAATAAGTCCACTAAATTTTAATTTTATTATAGTCATATCATAATTTACTTCGATTTTCTATATTTATACTACATTTTTCACGGGTTCAAAGGATGAATAGGTGAAAAATAAGGTAATAGCAACTTTATTCGAACTTTGAAAATTACACATTTGTTAAGATAGTTTGATATCATTGAATATGATTAATAAAAAAATGAAAAACAAGGAACGTGTGAATGTAATAAATTTTTTCATATTCTATTCAAGATATAAGGAATCCTAATCATTATTTCAAAACCATGTTTTTATATATATCTAATTAGGTCTTAATAGCAAGAATTACATGTTAGACGTGTATGGCTTGATAAGTTGACTTGTAAATATTTTCTTTTGAATTGATTATCAAGATGATAACTATGAATTATTGGTATAACTCACTTGTGTATTAATTATTAACGTATGCCATATGTAATGATAAGCACATGCTTTTAAAATGTATTGAAAACGAAAAATTTGATCTAAATGCGAATTAGTTATCGAAAAATAAGATAAGGCTCTTTACTCGTCGATTCTCACCAATTCAAAGTAAAACGGGGGGAGGGGAAGAGAAGGGGGGATACAAGTGAATGTTGATTGTGGACAACAATGGACATGCCATGATCCATACCACCTTTCGGGTTGATAAAATTGAGTCGCATTCCTTTGTAGTGATATATATAGTAATTAAGATTGGATTGAGATAGTTAAGAAACAGTTTCAAGGATGAAGATAATGTTCAGAATTGACTCCATGAGTGTCTCTCTCATCTTTTTTTTTCTTTGATTGTTTAATACTATTAAATGAAGTGATATATATAATATTAATGTTAAAGATTCAAGTTTAAGTTTTATTCATATTTAGGGAGTGACAGGATTTTCACGTAGGGGATGAAAAATGTTAAAAAAACAATATCATGTTTGGTACGGATTAAAATCTAGATTTTAATTTAATTAATTCACCAATTAATTATAATAACATATTTCATGGGATCTACAACTTTTTAACAATACATTTTTTCAACTTTTATCAAAATCTACTAAAAAAATCTAATGTTGGGCAATATAGAATATGTATTATGTATATATTGAAAAATTATTAAAATTTCTTTTCAAATAAATATCAAATAATTTCTATATTGACACGTAAAAACTAAAAAAATGCTACTATACCTTCAAGAGGTCGTGCTAAAAACTAAATGTAAATATAAATGAGTAATGCCATTCATGTTCAGCGATTGTAATAGTCATTCTATATAACAACTTATTATTTGATGCATTATTTTTCTTTAATTTTGTTGTCTCAAATAACAAATTGAATCTATCACGTAAGATGATTATTACAATCACTGGTTATCAATAAAATTTGTCAATTTCTTTTATCTTAAATTCTTAGAAAAAGTAGTTAACAATTACACATTCAACCATTGTTTGAGTTCCATTCTTTTGATAAGAACGAATTTTTGAGAAGTGTATTGATAGAAATGCGGAGTTAAAAAATAAGGAAAAATTTTAGATTTACATGTAATATTATTTTATTGAATAATGTGTGGTTGAAATGATATTAAAATACTGTTTAAAATATTTTTTTTTTCAAAGGGAATCAAACAGGGTTCAGTTAAAATCCTTAAAGTTACAAACTCTTCCCATTTATGAATGCCACGTGCATGACATGTCCTACATATATTTGTATTTTTGGTAGTAATTATTATTATTATTATTATTATTATTATTATTATTATTATTATTATTATTTTATTGAGGGGAAGAAAGATTCAACAATTAGACCAAATCCTTTTCAATTTCATAGAAGCAAGTCGACCAGATCCAATAAAGAAAGAAAAAAACACAAGGGGAAAATTATATATATTTTCCTTAATTTCCCCACTCAAAATAATTTTCTTTCCTAATTTCCTCAAAATTTGTCAATCTCAAAAGCACTAATATGCATGTAAAATATTTTTTATTTGATTGTTTCTTCTCTCTTCTTCAACACTAAGACGACGGCTACAGTGCTCCTACCTCTTTGCAGAAAAAAACTACTCCATTTTATTTGAAGTTATTGGTGAATTTTGCAGTTTAAATGGAGCACGCAAATTTGGTAATCAAGTTCTATTATATCTTTTCCATTTTTCCAAATAATTTCAGTACCTTTTTCTACATATGCATATTCTTATATTTTATGCATATTCTTATATTATGTGCTTTCGTGCAGAGCTGTATTTTGAAGGTGAATACTCGTTGTGATGCATGTAAGAGGAAGACGTTAGAAATATTGAACTCTATTTGCGGTAATCAATTACAATCTTATTAACTAACCTATATATATATATATATATAAACATGATTTTCTTTAATTATGTCGTGTTTGCTTATAAACTTTGTCAAGGGGTGTATTCCGTGACATTCAATGCTGAAGAAGGGGTAGCAAAAATAATGGGTGAAGTCGATCCGAATCTACTTCTTGCAGCCTTGGCAAGAACTGGACAACATGCCGAGCTTGTATGGGCCAAACTCGACCATCCAAGAATTGATAGAGGTTATTATAATGACCATGACTATCGTGGTGAACCCTATAGGCATCATCAAAGGGCATTGCCGGAATATTTCTCGAACAACCCTAACTACTATGATGCTACTCCACTTCCCTACTATGAAGATCAATCCACGAGTTTTTGTACTATAATGTGACTAAGATTAAAAATAGATATTCTTGGAATGTTTTGCATTTCACTTTTTGATACTTGCTGGATTGCTAAAATGGGTTTTATGTTATGTGCATTGCCAAAGGTTTAAAGAATAGCTGAGATATAGTTTTCTTATTTATGATATGTATTGTCTTTTTTATTTTTTTTATTTTTTGAAGATTCGTACACTTTTTATGTCCTATGAATCCTGGAATACAATACAATTCAGACACATAATTGAGAGACAGGAAAGCAAAGGAATTCAAAAGATTGCGATTCAATCAATGGGCTGTCTAAATTTCAGAGAACTTTTAGGCCTTTCATCAATTAACTGAACTTGATCTTCAATCTCAAACGATATTTGCCGTCATCGTGATAAGTGCTTGAAGACTTTAAAATGCAAATAGTTTGTAGGAGGAATCAAAATCTTAATCCATTTTTGAATCAAGCAAAACTAAACTTGGAAAATGAACTTTTAGAACAAATATTGAAACTTGGTTTGATTTTTTGATTTAGAAGTTAATGAAAGAATTTGATGTTTTGAATATATTTTTCAACATGAAAACCATTGTTGTATATATTACTACAACCTCCATGCATGAAATGTAGGATTGACAATGGTTCGGTTCGGTGATGGTTTGGGGTCGGTTATGTCAAAACCATAACCCAACCACCAATTTTTTTTCTATATCATAATCACGTAAGTCGGTTTCGGTTCAGTTCAGTTCGACTCGATTCGAGACGGTTAATAATCATGAAAATAAATTATTTTTCACATGTCCAGTCGTCAAACTGAAAAAAAAACAATTTATGAAAAAAAGTCACACGTGATAGTTATCAATTGATAGTCGAGTGATTTATATTGGAGCACTTCAAATAATTTGCGTTGTTGATCACTTATCAGATCAAAATTGTACAAAGGGCCGATAGATGGTACATTTGTAAAAAGGTGGCGATTTATGGTACCAAGGGTGATGTCTAGGTTATTGATGATAATCAAGAAAGGCAAAGACTATATATACTTAATTTCAAGTCAATACAGATGCCTAAAACGAATTAAATGATCAAATTTACAGTAAGATAATAAGTTTTTTGAAACTAAAATTGTTGATTGAGTTTGCTTCAAGAACGAGCGAGTTAATAGCCATCATGTGTGACTGCAAAGGAAGAAAAAAGCCCCTGTGGAGTTTGCAAAATTAGATATTTTTTTATACATGTTTTGCATTGGATTACTAGTTAGATGGAAAAAAAATAAATTTAACAGATAATCAGTTTGGTTCGGGGTGACGACGTAAATATCATACCCACACCGCCCCAAACGGTTAATTAAAATCAAATACCATATCCGCTCCATTGTACAATTGGTTCTTTTTTTTTGCCCCGTTCGGCTCGGTTAACCGCGGTTTTCGATTTTGACGATCCAAATTGTCTTCCCTAACGAAATGATATCAAAAACATGCTGAAGGGGGTGTGAGAACCTCCAAAAGACACCAAAATTCAAATTATTGTTGCAAAAAGTTGAAAAAGGAAATAACTGACAACAAAAGACACGGAAATGGAAGGTTTGAACACGATTATTGGTCACTGTTCTCAAACGTTATTTAATGTCACCAGAATAAGCACGTGAAGGCTTTAAAATGCATATGGTTTGTAGGAGTAATCAAAACTTTGATTCAAGTTTGAATCAAACAAAACCAAACTTGGCAATGAACTTTTAGAACAATTATTGAAATTTGGTTTGATCTTACGATTTGAAAGACAATAAAAGAAATGGTGCCAAAAACAAACCAAAGGCATGTAAGAACATTCAACTTCACACCCAAATTTAAATCTACAATGGTCAAATTTTTGTACAGGACGATCGCCCAGTTTACCAAAGTTGGTTCTTGTTTTAAAATGATGGCTGCATTATCGCCCAAGCCAAATTTTCTCCTCCGTCATTTTTTCTTCTCGTTTTGTTTTTGCTTGTTTTTCTCATGGTTGATTACTTCTATCACTCCCAAAATTATATCTCATTGTATATTGTTAAGAAATATAGGATTATTTATTATTTATTAAGGGTAGAATAGTCCTTTTTAGTTTCCTTTGTTTAGCCTATATATATTCTCTTTATATTTAGGTTAAACAATCTTCACCATTCAATTAATTACGTAGTATCAATGAAACCCTAGCTTCCTCCTTTTTCTTCTTTATTTTCTTTGGATTGTTTAACATGGTATCAGAGCTAGATTTCATGGGACAAAACTTAATCTCAAACACAGCTTTCGCGGATCCAACTGTTAAATCTGGTATTTCTGCAATTTGTTATTTCTGCAATCTGGTATTTCTGCAATCTGATGGGTCAATTGAGCGATACAAAGCTAGGTTGGTTGCAAAGGGATACTCTCAACAGTATGGTATGGATTATGAGGAGACATTTGCTCCTGTTGCAAAAATGACTACTATTCGTACTCTTATTGCAGTAGCTTCGATTCGTCAGTGGCATATCTCTCAACTTGATGTTAAAAATGCCTTCCTGAATGGAGATCTTCAAGAAGAGGTTTATATGGCACCCCCTCCTGGTGTTTCACATGATTCTGGGCATGTTTGCAAGCTCAAGAAAGCGTTGTATGGTCTCAAACAAGCACCTCGTGCTTGGTATGAGAAATTTTCTGTTGTGATCTCTTCCCTTGGATTTGCTTCTAGTAGTCATGATTCTGCTCTTTTTGTTAAGAGCACTGATGCAGGTCGTATCATTCTATTTTTATATGTTGATGACATGATTATTACTGGTGATGTTATTGATGGTATTTCAGTTTTGAAGACAGAGTTAGCTAGACAGTTTGAAATGAAAGATTTGGGTTCTCTACGATATTTCTTGGGATTTGAGGTTGCCTTCTCACCCAGAGGTTATCCTCTTTCTCAGTTGAAATATGTTGTAGATATTCTTGAGCGGGCAAGACTTACTAATAATAAGATTGTTGATACTCCAATTGAGGTTAACGCGAAGTATTCTTCTTCTGACGGTTTACCTTTGTCAGATCCTACTTTATACCATACTATTGTTAGGAGCTCGGCATATCTCACTATTACTCGTCCAGATATTGCATATGCTGTTCATATTTGTTAGGAAAATGTGTAATTGGCAATCTGTGACCAAAGGACCTATTTGTCAAAATTGTAAAGTCAAGGACCAAATTATAAAGGTCTAATAGCTCAGGGACTAAAGTTGCAATTTAGCAAAGTTCATAGCATAGGTCTAGGGTAAAGTGGGATGCTTTGAAGATGCAAACGGCGCGTTGATTTCACTAGAGTTTCGCCCTGACCTCGCTCGAGCCTAAATTGCAGAACAGACGTCGCTAGAGTTTCGCTGAGCTGTCGCTCGAGCGAAGGTGCATCGCTCGAGTTTCGCCAGCACCTCGCTCGAGCGACGGTGTTATCTGGCCTTTAGTAATTTTAATGCCTCGTGAATTTTTAACGCTGCATATTACCAAATTCAACCTACTATATAAACAAAACGTCTGATTTTCTTAAATGACCTTTGGCAAACATTCAAACAGGAATTCCTCTCAACTTCCAAAGGATTAAGAACCTAATATTCATTCTTTTCATCTTTTAATTCTCATGGTTTTTTGAATAAAAACATCAACCCTCTCAAAACCAAAACACCCTTTCATATCTCCATATCAACTTCCAGAAGGTCGTCAGTTTGAAGATCCGGGAAGGGAATTGCTTGAAGAGCTGGAGTGCTTGGTGATTCACGGGAGGTAGAAGATATTCAAGGCTGGGATTTTGGCGTAGATCTGCAAAATCCAGGATAGTTGTGGTCGATACAGTAAGGAGGTCAGAGTATTGTTAGAATCAATAATGTCTGATGTACTGTAAGTCAACATCTTCTATAGTGGATCTCTACTGGCTTGTGCCCGGAGTTTTTACCCAGTTGGGTTTTCTCCGTCAACATTTTGTGGCGTTTTTACTGGTTTTTGTTATTTACTTTTCAGTCGGTAATTCAACTTAGGTAGATAAAGTATGTGAATGAATCTGGACAATGCTTAATTTATGTGACTTGTTGCATAAGTTAATTAATTGCCTTAATTCCGCATAAACACCTATTCACCCCCCTCTAGGTGTTGGTTGAGTCGAACTATAGCTTTTTCAAGTGGTATCAGAGCCAAATCTCGAGTCTTGACCCATAGTTGTCTAGAGGAGTCAATCACTATCTGTACCTCCATTTTTCGATGGAAGTAATTATGCTTATTGGAAGGTTAGAATGCGTGCTTTTCTTAAGTCTTTAGATGAGCATGTTTGGGTAAGTGTGCAAAATGGTTGGAAACCTCCCTCCACTATCGTTTCTGGAACTATTAATCTAACTGACATATCACTGTAGACTAAGGATGAAATAGCTGAGTGTAATTGGAATAGTAAGGGTCTTCATGCCCTGTTTATGGCCGTGTCTCTCGAAGAGTTTAGGAGAGTGTCAATGTGTGAAACTGCTAAAGAGGTTTGGGACATTCTTGAAACTACACATGAGGGAACTAAAATGGTAAAGAATTCTAAGTTACAAATGCTAGCTTCTAGGTTTGAAGAAGTGAGAATGAAGGATGATGAAACGTTTGACGAATTCTATGCTAAATTGAATGACATTGTTAATTCTAGCTTCAATCTAGGTGAGAGAATTCCCGAGTCTAAAATTGTGAGAAAAGTGCTTAGGTCCCTGCTCGAGAGATTTAGGCCTAAAGTCACTGCCATTGAGGAAAGTAAGGACCTAGATGAAGTTAAAATTGAAGAACTGGTAGGATCACTGCAAACTTATGAACTCACTGTCACACAACCTAAGAAAAGAAAGTCCATAGCCTTAAAATCCATCAAAGAGGATGAATCTTCTGATACTGAGTCACTTAGGGACGATGAAATTGCTTACTTTGTTAAGAGATTCCAAAAAGTTCTCAAGAATAGGAGAAAGTCTCAGGATAGAAAAAGTGGAGCCCCTATCAGTTTTTCAAAAGAAAAAATTGAAAAGTTTAC